ATTCCTTGTGACAAATCTTCACTGCACAACCAGAAGAGGGATACTGCATGATGCTGAATTAGGCTGTGGAGGCGAAGTGGTGGACCCGGGGACGTCCGTCGTGTTCACACGAAACGGGTGCGCTTCCGTGAGTGATGACCATCTCCCCCATTCGCCTGGAAATCTCTGGAGGGGTCGTCGCCGTTGTAAGCTTGGGCTTTGGGGCCGAAGGCAGGATAGACTTGACCGTTGGGGCCGTAGCCAGGGTAGACTTGACCGTTGGGGCCAGTGATCATGATCGGGTTCACCGTGTCCGCATTGTTTCTCAGGGTCTGGTAGTTGCTGAGGACGGCCAGCCAGATGCAGATCATGATGGCTGCATCAATGGATTCGCTTCGATTAGTGTTTCTAGTTTCATGAACAAAACGTGGAATTTCCTTTTTGCATTTTACAAGACGGTGAAACGATAAAAAGTTCGATTTTGGACCAGACTGTTTAGCAATCGAAAATTTTCATATCGGATACGTCTTCATAGATAAATCAATACCTCTAGTAATCCCCATAATATCTCTAGCTAAATCTGGCTAAAGGAACATGAAGTTCTGACTATTGTATAACTCCCCTTTGAATCAAAATTCCGAAACGACAATTCTCATTGAAAGGGCAATCTCGAATACATATAAACTTCCGACAACACATTCGCTTCCTGAACAAAATCTCACTGGAAACTTAGGCAGGTCCCTCAGCGCCAGCAGAAGAGACCTGCACTCGTATAAATATTCAGCCAACGATCTCGAGATCGCTGCCGTATGCAACCAGGTCGTGCGGCTCTCGCGGAATCCTGCTTTGCAATTCACGTGCAAGCCGAACAAGTAGCACGAGAAGACGTAAATACCACTAGAATGACAAGGAGAAACTTCATCACGACTTCTATTCTTCCTGGAATATTTTCTCACAATTAGCCCCTTCCCCCTTCACCATCCCCCATCACCGTAATCCGGGGTACAGACCTAGGTAGACGACGGCGATGATGACTTGGAAAACGAAGATCGCCACATTGATTTTGTTGATCGCAGCAAAGTTGGTGAGGTATATGGCAAATCCGATGCTGGCCAAGGAGGCCAGCAAGTACAGGGCGTCCATGATAACCCAGGGAAGGTGCAGACATGCGTTTCTCTGAAATAAATAAATAAATGCTGGATGGTATTTATAATAATAAAAATCTACCATACCGCATTGGAACCTGGGCAATGAACGTATCACAGGTCAGAGAGAAAACTGGGACTCTCTGAAACCTCTGAAAAAAATTTTCCATCGGTATCTGTGGTAAATGATGAGTGCGTTGTCACCTTTTTGGAAACTCACGGAGGTTCATCACGTCCCATTTCTCTGAATGAATTTGAAAAAAAAAACTGACTTTTGCGGCGCCATAGATGAGGGCAATGGAGGAGAGGACGAAAATGGAGGAAATGACCACGAAGCCGATCATAATCCCCAGCAAGACTGAAAAAGAAAATATGTTCCCAGACACCCTGAACTGTCAAGAATGCATCCTTTTGATATAGGTTAACATCCAAGTTTTTGGTCACTTAAGCCCCAGATTTTTGGACTCGCTGATACGATTCCCATAGGAAGTGGACACCCTGTCTACACACTGGTATAAACTAATAATAAGTCCTCGTACCTGAAGGAGGTTGATTGAATGCTTGAAAACAGCCAGATTAACTAATTAAGCCGGATTTAAGCCTCACTGGCCAACAACTGGAGACCGGCCAGAAGACGGGGTCCTTTTTTCGTTTCGATGGAGTCCACCGTGCAGCTAGACATCATCAATGAACCATCATGTTGAAGTTACCTAATTCAACGTCTGCCTTACGAAATTCCTGCTTAAATTTCTCACTTCTTTCAGGGCGTATTGCTTACTTCACACAGAGACAGCAGGCACAGTGACCTTAATGGGAGGCACAGTGGCCTTAAAGGGCCACTGTACCTGCCGTCTCCTGTTTACCTTCTCCCGCCTTTTTAGGAAAGAGCAGTTTTTTAAATATATTTTCTGAGCGTCTGTGACTCACTTTTGTAGCCATCATTGACGTGGCCGTATTGTCTCACGATGTCTTGGTATATGCCCGAATAGACCATGTTGATCTGTGTGATGATCACGGATCCTGCGATTACGGCCACGATGGAGCCGATCTATGGAGAGAAGAATTTCATCAAGATTTTCATTAATGTCGCCCTTATTCTTGAAGCGCTTGCAGGCGATTGGTTCCGAAAGATTTTTTCTGTGATTTGAATTGTTCTTCGTTGTATCTCTCTTCACCCTTCCAGGCGCTGGAGGATCGCGGAACGAAGATTGAGGGTGGATTGTTGATAGTGCAGCTTTATTCCTGGGAAAATACATGATATTTCCTGGGAAAAAAAGCGGCATTATCAGATAGTTCTCTGTTCAAAAATCCACCAAGGCTCTTCAAACGTCGATTCTCAATATCAAAATGCTCTCAGTAACAAGAAAGAACAGGTAACAACTCAGTAAGTAACAAGCAAAGCCACTCCAAGTCAAGCTGGAACCAATGCTCGGTTTGGTCTTGCTCTGCATTAACATAATTGGTTCATCGCAAGCTTCCGATTCGGAGCGAAGCAAAAAAAAAAAGGACCTTTTAAGATATTCGCAAGGGACGCATTGCGTGTTCCCTTTGAAATATTTATGTAAGATGACAATAAAGGGAATTCACCAAAGAGAAGACCCCGACGACTATGGTCCCCAACCGCGTATTGTAGCAGCAGCAGCAACACGTCTTCACGCACACCATCTTCTATTTCAAGCCGGATAGACTTAAAGAGCGGGACCCAAAGGAGCGGGAAGCACCGACATCCCAAGTGGTTCGTGTTCCGACAGGATGGGAGGCAGCGAAGGGAATTTCAGTGTTGCTCTGTGGAAGCCCGGCAATCGACTTGTACCGGCTTCGCACTATGTTGACTTTTGGACACGTTGATTCCGTATTTACAATAGGTCGATGACTGTTCCGCATTGGCGTGGCTCCATCTATTGCGAGGAGATTCGTCGATCTTTTTCACACGTTTGCACTTCCTTTACTGGATGCTTTAAAAATTTTGCGCGCGGAATCGGCTGAGCAGATGTTTGTATGATACTGGTGATGCGAAATGAAGGAGTGAACTCTTTTCGCGTATTTCCTTTTGGAGCGCCACGATTTGTCTGGACTTGATATAGCTGACCATGAATGTCCCTAACCCGTTACTGTTTGCCTAGATGCCCACAAGGCCCAGTAATTAATATGAGATGCCTATGCATTCATAATCCGCATGATCTGTTGACGCTGTTCCTTGTGTCGATGCAATGTACTTCATATTGCACGTAAGAGCGAATGATCAGATATATATACTGAGATGAATGCCTTCTTTAAAATGCCTCCTTGGATAATATTTGATATTTACAAAATCATCAGGAATCATAAAGGGTGTTTAAAAAAAACTTAATATTCAATTTAAGTAATTTTTTCATTATTAATTTTTTTATTACTATGTTAAGATATTTCAAGGGAAATCCTTTTTTTGCCTCAAAATGCATTTTGACTCTAGAACATACCTTAAAAAACATATTGAAGCGTTCTGGAGTAATATCCAGATGCAACCATTAAGCAGGTCAAGAAATTCCTCAAGTCCAGAAATTCAAAATATGAGTTTTATCACATCTCTCGCCAATCCATGCAATTTTTTGAGATACCAGATTGCTAAATTTGCAGACAAAGTGCCAGGTTACCAAACATTCAGGTGGAAACGGAAGACCTGCGACTGCAACAACCCCCATGATGAAAGCTAGAGTCAAGCCACTCATTGCCAACTGAAGGCATAACAGAGGACTGGGGAAGGTGGCCGCCAGAACTGGAATTTTTTTTGGAAGTTTCTCAGACATTCTCAAAACTGGTGGATTTTACTACAAAATGAAGGTTCAGGGAATGACAGAGGTTCACAAACAGAAAAGGTTAACTTTCTGCCAACGGATGCTGAAGCAGTATGGAAGGAATCCCACCTCTTCCAAGTTTTGGAAGGATTTGGTCAACACAGTTTTCTCTGCAGTCATCAGGCTCCATCCTTCAAGAAACACCAAGAACGATGTTGTCTGGAGTCACTCCATCCTGGATGTTTGGAGCACCCCTCGCTCACAATGAAGAAAACTTTTCTGCTGCAATCATGTTTAGTGGTGTCACAGTGCGGGGCCTGATTCCAGACAAACCTCTGTTCAGAGTTGAGTTTTACTCCGGATATGATCCAAAACCTAAAACTGTCAAAATAGATTAATCTACGCAGACATCATCAAAGATATTACTGGGCCTGCTGTCAGCAAACTGTATCCAAATAAAGATGCTCTCTGGCAGGATGACCTTGCTTCCATCCACAGGACTGGTGTTACAGCCGTTTCCACAGAATTCGGAAATAGACAAACAGGCACCTAAGGTGGCTGATGTATGACCAATTGGGAATGTTTGGGGAATGAGGACCTGACCTGTATCAAGCAAATGAAGAAAGTCATCACCAAAGAATAAAAGAATATCAGTGACGACAAATGAGGATGCCTGACCAAAAAAAATGATTGAAATTAAAATGTTACTGTTAAATCATGTTTATGATATATTTTTGTGCTTGTAATCAATTTTTTCTTGTTACAAACAAAAATAAATAAATATATTGTCTAAAACAAATTGTTAAGGTTTTTTTTAACACCCTTTATGCACACGAGAAAATAATGCTGTATCTAGGTATATTTGAGTTGAATTCGATGATGTCTGTTAGACGCAATGAAGCGAAAGTTGTTTCCTCGAGCTTTAAAATTTTTATCGCAAATTTTCCTCGCACATAGGATTTTTCAGAACTGTATGCATCAAAATAAACTCATTCCTATTAGGTTTCTATACATTCTGAACGATGCTGCTGTAGAATATACACAGAGATCCGAAAGGAGCTAATCCTTTTTTCCTCTATCAAATCGATCACTACCGTGATCATTAGCAACCCCTGCTAAATAAAATGCTAAATTCAAGAAATTGCATGCATAGCATATTGTGCTTCGCCCAGCTTCGCGAGGCTGCTGTTTTCTATTTCCCTGCAAGAATTTAGACAGGGCGATCGTAGGAAGGCGAAAGGGTTCGGATCGCCTGCCGCAAATTCTTTTATGCCTTTTCATGAGATGGTGACTTTGTGCAACACAAGTGCATTTTTGGATCAGTTCAAAATGGGTTGAATACTTAACTGAAACAGAAGAGTTCTTGAAAAGATTTCTTTTTTTCAAATTCTAAAACCTGTAAAGTTGTTACGAAGATGTATATGGATGTGTTTAAAGTCCAAAATAATTTCCGCCATTGGTTTCTTAAAATCCAGTCTTATTCCCCACAAGAAAGGGGAAAGTGAGGAGTCGGTATAAAATAGTTTTCTAGTTATAGTTATATAAAATAGCCATAAATATATTGGTATGATATGCACAGTCGGTATATCATATAATATCATATAACCAATTTTATCCCCGCTGCTGGCTCTTGACATCTGGTGATTGTTAAAAACGCAGCCGGCCCAGCGCATCTCATCAGCTCTGCAGCTCATCAGCTCTGCATCTCATCAGCTCTGCAGCTCATCAGCGCCTGCAATGCAAGGCCGGGATGGGAAGCAATATGAAGAGGATGTCATGGCCTGGCTGTTGAACAGTGCCTGCCATCCCGAATGAACTCGGGTGGACTCAGGTAAGAATCCTCTCCCCAGGCTCCATTCCATCCTTTTTCTCTCCAGCCGGCTTGGAAATGTGTGAATCCAGACTTTTAAGCTAATTTCGATAAGCCAAGCGTGTGTGCATGAGCGTCCTTAGCAACATCGACACAAGTTCACACATTTCGTCACCATGTTCACATCGTGAAACTTAGATACTACTGTTACATTACGTCGATGGCTTTTCCGCATTGGGGAGATTCCTCGATTCTTCCCACCCGCTTTTACGTCCTTTGCTGGATGCGTTAAAAATTTTCCGCGGGGAATCGGCTGACCAGAGATTTGCAAGAACAAGGTGATTCGTATTGAATTAGGGAATTTCTACTGCGTAATTCCTCATGGAGCGCTTCGAATTGCCGGAACTTGCCATGAATGACCATGAATGACCTTTATCCGTCAATGTTTTTCCACGTGGCCCGGAATGAATATTTGATGCAAATGCATTCGGGATCCGTATGGTCTGAGTACACTGCACAGTGTCGACTTATGGTCGCATCGACCCGATGCACACCAGTGTGTTGCACGCGAGACCGAACGGTCAGACGCAGGTGCCGAGGTGAAAGGCTTCTTTAAAATGCCTCTTTGAATAATATTTAGGTAATTTCAGAAGGATCCTTCTGAAATACTGAGGTTCTCGGGGAAAACTGCGATTTGCCATATCAGAGGCTCACGCGCAATGACCATGCCTCCAGATTCATCTATCAACAATTTAATGGATTTGTACAAGAAATTTCCGCTAAATACCATGCCTCAGTGGGTAATTCATGAGTAATTAACTGAGTAATTCATTTTTACAAGAACGGGGACTTGGTCTCGACCTTGTACACAGGCACGGATTGCAGCTATACAGTAAGTTCGGTTTTTAGAAACCTGTCGGGGTGTCGGTCAATCTGACGACCATAGGCAGGATTAAGGCTCCCCTCACAAAGGGAAATAAGAGCATCAGTATCGACAAAGCAAATCAATATCAAAAAGGCAAATAAGAGCATGCCGAACGTCGTCTATCGGCTCCTTCGCCCATAGCTTTTTCTTTAGTAGCCTTGTCATGGCAGTCGATAGCATGCACAGAGGGACTTCGGCTGGGATTATCCTTGGAATAGGTGTATCACTAATTAACATCATTGGCCTTAGAGGATGAACGCAGAAACTGGCTGTATAAGCTGTTGTTTCTTTCGGCGGCCGTACTCCCCCTGAGGAAACCGGGCGAATGGCATCGGAAATCAAGCCTGGACCTTCGGTGTTCTTTTCTTTGTAACTTTCTTCTGTCTGTCGGACTTTTTTTTTTTTTTTTTACAATAGTCGGTGATGCTCGTTATGGGACTCCCAAGATTGATGGTCTTCGACTGTTTGATTTTAATTTCCTTATTTGTAAAACCAGCGAATTTTTTTGCATGTGAGACAGCTGAAACATAGTTGGATGTAAAAAATAAAAAAAAAACAACTCGCATGCACTTTTCCGCCGAAAGGCTTCAGACAAGCAAGGCAGGCCGATTCGTATGCAACCGTCGCATGCGTCACCGTCAACGCAATTGGGCAATGGCGACATCCAAAGGAGCCGATTTCATCATATATTGCATTCCGTGATTTCGTTGCATTCAGTGGCATTACATGGCAGGTGAATAATCCAGCAGCGAAGCCAAGGCAGCCAGGAAATGAAATCAAATTTGCGCCGCCCAAAAAAAAGGATCTTTTTATTGTCGATCCTGCAAACCCCAAAGCAAGTGTAGGCCCAAACAATAAGGATTATACTCGCGAAAAGGAGAAAAATACTAGACTGCAACATTTCAAACGTCTCCGAATGGATGGAGGCGTTATCGAATCATCAGAAGAAATTTTCTCAAAAAAATAGCGGAAACACGAAGAAAGAAAACGAAATGAACGAAAATGTCACGAAGCGGTGAAAACGGAATTGAAACTCCAAATAATTGAAGCACATTGGATTATTTAAAAAGAGCTCAAAATCAACTAAATTACAATCTGGATTCAGGCCAAATTTCGTTGCGCAGATATGCGAGTGGAAATTCGTTATCATGTGCGTGATTCACGACGTTCATCTCAATTGCCATCCCTTAAAAAAAAAAAAAAATCCCCCGCCCCGCCCCGCCCCGCCCCGCCCCGCTCCAGGTTGCTCCACTGCCAGCTAGAAAAAACTTTGTGGCTTTTCCCGGAGTCAATATCAAATACGGAAACACGGAACTACTTTTAAAATTAATGGTTGGTCGGGCGTGACCTTGCGAACGCTGCAGTGGTTTCCTGCAGAAGTATTGAATGTATTGATTTACAAGCAGTGGAGCCGTTTATTCGGATTTTAATCGTTGACGGTTCAATCGTTTCCTGGGCTCGCAAGGCATGGTCCCTGACAGAAGGCGTCAATTCGCAAACGGTTTCTTGCATGAGAAAGAGCGTCCGCTAATTAACAAATATGCAACGTTAAAAAAAAAAATCATTCATTATTTTGGCGTAAAAACGACTGTAGTTCCTGGCCATGATATTTCAGCACCACCAAGCTCAATCACGCGATCTGGCACGAGTTACCTAGTCCTCCTAGTCTTCAAAGCTACGCGTTACTCCGAAAAAAAACATCAGCATTATCAGGGCATGGCATTTTCACCTGAAACAAAAAAAATTATCAGAAAATAACCTTTGAATAAAAATGTTGATATTTGTTTAGTGTAGGCACATCCTATTCCTTATCAATATTTCATGCAAATTTCCGCGTTGTTTCTTGAATGAACGCATGATTTTTTTATTTGCGAAATACCTTTTGGAAATTAATGCCTTCCTTGCTGAGTTATGGGCGTTCAAAGTCGTCCAGTGACTTTTAACTCACCCTGTACTAGCGAAACTTTTCAATATGCAGACGCTCTCTGGTTGGGTCAAAAATCGAGTGCTAAGAAGAGACAATGCGCGTTCATTCCTTCTGATGGATATTCAATGCGCAACTGGAGGAGGGTTATTGGACGAAGTGCAAGTAGACGGTGGAGGCGAAGTGGTGGACCCGTGCACATCCATCGTGTTCACCTGAAACGGATGCGCTTCCATCGAGTGATGACCATCTCCTCCCTTCGCCTGGAAATCTCCGGTGGGGTCGTAGCCGTTGAAAGCGTGGGAGTTGGGGTCGTAGGCAGGATAGACTTGACCGTTGGGGCCGTAAGCAGGATAGCCCTGGGCGTTGGGGCCATAGATCATGATCGGGTGCACCGTGTCCGTTTTGCTTCCCACGGTCTGGTAGTTGCTGAGGACGGCCAGCCAGATGTAGATCATTATGCCTGCATCAATGGATTCGCATCGATTAGTGCCTCTGGTTTCTTGAACACATTGTGGAATTTCTTTTTGCAAAACACAGTAAAACGAGAAAAAGTTCAGTTTTGGAGCAGGACTCTTCAGCGATCGATAAGTTTCATATCGGATAGGTATTTGACTACTTCATAGATATTAATAAATCAATACCTATAGTAATCCCCGTAATCAATATCTCTCTCTAAATCTGGTTAAAGGGACAGAAGTTCTAAATTTTGTTTAACTTTTTTATTTTTGTTGAATCAAAATTCCGAACGAAACATTCTTCTTCAAAGGGCGATCTCGAACACAAATAAACTACTGGCAATGCTGTCATGTCCAGAACGTTATCACTGATAACAACGACCTAGAGACCTTATGCAACCAGGTCGTGCGTCTCTCGCGGAATCCTGTTTTGGAAGTCACGTGTAAACCGAACAGGTAGCGCGAGAAGACGTAAGTGCCACTAAAACGATAACCCAAGCCAAGGAGAAACTTCATGGCTTCTACTCTTCCCGGAAGATTTTTTCACCTATATTATCCCCTCCCCCTTCGCCCTAATCCGGGATACAGACCTAGGTAGACGACGGCGATGATGATTTGGACTGCAAAAACCCCAACATTGATTTTGTTCATCCCAACACTGGTGGTGAAGTAGATAGTATATCCGATGCAAGCCAAAGAGGCTATCAAGAAAAGAGCGTCCATGATAAGCCAGGGAAGGTGCAGACACGCGTTTCTCTGAAATAAATAAATAAATAAATAATATTTAGACTGTCAGACCGCATCCGAACCTAGATAATGAACTTATCACAGGACAAAGAGAAAACCGGGACTCTTGTAAACCTCTGGAGAAAATTTTTACTCTGGTATCTGTGGTAATTGGCATGGGTCTCGTTACCTTCTTGGATACTCACGGAGGTTCGTGACGTCCCGTTTCTCAAAACGAATGTGAAAATACAAACTTTTCCGGCGCCATAGATGAGGGCAATAGAGGAGAGGACGAATATCGAAGAAATGACCACGAAGCCGATCAGGATCCCAAGCAAGGCTGAAAAAGGAAAACATGCTTGCATACACCCTGAAGACTCATCGATTGATACGTTTGACACATCGTGTCCGGAGTTAGAGAATTTATTTCAGGGAACTTTTAAAAGTTCCTCAGAGGTATACAGTATTTCGGTCTTTTACGTCGGTTGATTCCTACGATATTGGATTATTTTCGGTACCACCGACTATATTTTTAAACCACGCTTAAAATAATGTCTTATTTTCCGGCAAAACGGCGCTCTATTCCAGAATATGCAGCCGGTAGAAAAAGAACTACTTCTAAAGAAAAGTTTAACGAAGACGGGGAAGAATTTAAAGTGAGAGAAACTGAGGTATATAGGTTTTAAAGTAATCAATTTCGCAAGCAGAATATAATTTCTGTGTATCGATCTCTATCGCAATATCGAAAATCGCTCTAGTCCGAATTGGAAACGCAGCAAAAATATGTATCAAACCAATGCCGATATCTATCGGCAATTTACCTAAATATATCTATATTTATATTTGTAATAACCTATATAATAACGCCCACCACGGGTGCAAGTTCTCAGGCGACGCTCTGTAGTTTGTAAACATCCAAGGAGCAAATTAGTAAAACATCCACTTTTTTGTTTTGAGTTTTTGATGAGTGAAACAAAGTAACATGGGAACATTGGAGACGGCCGATAATTTTCATGGCTGAAGGTGAAATTCCGGACGCGGACGTGTTTCTCTGTGACTTCTTTAAATTTGCATCTATGATGTATGCATGGATAAAAATTTGAAACAGCAACGATTGTTTTCCCTAAAAAGTTTCATTGTTCTGTGACCTATTTAAATATGTATATATTATGAAAACAAAGTTTAAACAATAATTGGAGGAGTACCCCGTTTTGCCCCACAGGGACACCCCATTTCGCCCCATGGGTGAGGCAAAACAGGGTATTTGACAATAATTTTTGGAATTTTCGGGGCGGAAAGCTGATTTCGCGAAGAAGTTGATTCATAGATAAGACATGAAAGGGGCGCAATCCTGTCATTCCGTTGCATGTGATTAAGAAAGCTCCAGTGTGTATCTTTCCTACTTCAATCGTGCAGCTTTTTTCCTGCTGCAGTCAGACTTTTATTCGCATCAAAGTGATTAGGGGGAGTCAGTACGATACGAAAACGTTATCGCGATATGCAGACATGTTGGTAATATGAAAAAACTCAAGAAAAACTCGATATTACCATAATCAGTTTTCCGAGAATAAGCTTAACTCATTGGGAGAAAAATATAGATGATGAAATATACCAAAGTACAAAATGCAACAGAAAAAAAGAGAAACGAATGGGGGAATATTGGAATGACAATAATTAAGTAATGCCACTCCACAATCATTATCTAAAATTAAAAAAATATGTACATCTACAGTAAATATTGATGTCGCTTGTATGAAAGCACGATTTTGTTCTCCAAAGAAAGCGAGTAAAAAAATACAAGCTACTTCACTCGTCCCCTTGATATCGCCCTTACTAATACTTGCAATCGACGATGGCGGATGCTGAAGTTGCCTTCTTCAACGTCTGCCATTCCCGCTTTCATTTCTCATCTTATCCAGGACATTTTCCTTACTGCATGCATTACAAATTTTGCGGCGTTGAAGGGCCATACTGCCTCGTGTCTCCGGTTCCTCCCCCTCCGCCTTCTTCTCATGCAAAAATTTTTTTTTTATGTATATATTTTTTGAGCACATGTGACTCACTTTTGTAGCTAGGACTGAAGAAGCCATAATATTTGACGACGTCTTGGTAGCTGCCCGAGTAGACCTTGTTGATCAGTACGATGCTCACGGATCCTGAAATTACGGCCACGACGGAGCCGATCTACAGAGAAAAGATTTTCATTGATGTCGACCTCATTATTGAAACGCTTGCGGGAGGCGATTGGTCCCGAAAAGTTTGTTCCGTGATTTGAATTATTCCTCGTTGTATTTCTCTTTCCGCCCTTCCAGATCTGGAAGGATCGCGGAATTAAGATTGAGGCTCGTCAAAAATCGATTCTCATTATTAGAATGTTCTTAGTAACAGGAAAGAAAAAGTAACCGCTCAGTAAGTAACGAGCAAAACTAATTCAAGTCAAGTTGGAACCTATTCTTCATTTGGTATCGCTCTGCATTAACATAGTTGGTATATCGGAAGCTTCCAATTCGCAGCGAAGCAAAAAATAAGAAGACCTATTATGATATTCGCAAGCGACGCATTGCATGTTCCCCATGAAATATTTATGTATTATGACAGTAAAAGAAATTCACCAAAGAGAGGACCCCGACGACTATGGTCCCCACCCGCGTGTCGCAGCAGCAGCAGCAACACGTCTTCACGCACACCATCTTCTCCAAGTCGGACAGACTTAAGGAGCGGGACCCAAAGGAGCGGGAGGCACCGACATCTCAAGCGGTCCGTGTGCCGACTGGATGGCAGGCAGCGAAGGGAATTTCAGTGTTGCTCCGTGAAAGCCCGGCAATCGACTTGTACCGGCTTCTCACCATGTTGACTTTTGGAAACGTTGATTTCGTATTTACAATAGGTCGATGGTTTTTTCGCATCGGCATTGCTCCATCTGTTGCGAGGAGATTCGTCATCTTTTTCACACGTATGCACTTCCTTTACTGGATACTTAAAAATTGTTTGCAAGCGAAATCAGCTGAGCAGATATTTGCATGAAACAGGTGATGCGAAATGAAGGAGTGAGTTTTTCATGCGTATTTCCTTTTGGAGCGCCTCAATTTGTCTGGACTTGATATGGCTGACCATGAATGACCCTAATCAGTCAATGTTTTTCCAGATGCCCACAAGGCCAGCAATTAATATTTGATGTACATGCATTCATAATCCGCATGATCTGTTGATGCTGTGCAGTATGCTATGCACAGTCGGTTAATTTTTGAGGTATTATAACCAATTTATTTCCTCCCCTCCTGCTGGCCCTTGTCTTCTGGTGATTGTCGAAAGCGTAGCCGACGCACGACGAATGCAATCATCAGCCCTCCTCCTCCCCATATTAACACGAAGATTGAACGATCGAGCATTTAGGCAATAAGTCGCTCGAACCCCTGAAGCGTATTCACTCCGGGAACGAGCGAACCTACTCCTCGATTTTGGGAAAGACCTCGAATTCAATGCAATGATATTAAGACGTAGTCTGGTTGCACGGTGAACGAACAGGGCAAAGTCGGTTCGGCAAAAAAGGGTTAGAGCAACACACAGCATTGAACGTTATCGATACCCGTTCGCCCTTCAGGTTCTGAACCACGATGCGCATGCGCGTACGACCCAGGCTTTGAGCGCGGCGCCGTTGTCAGCAATCAGAGCTGTCAGTTCCCTAGTAACCTTCGTGGCGGAAGGTTGCTAGGGAACTGACCAACCGCGCAAAGCCCTCCGGCCTCCCATCATCGATTCATGGGCACCGTTTGTCTGTTTACCAAATATAAATGAGAAATGAGGTTTTCCATGGCCGAGGACCGGAAAGAGTTAGCATTTTGTTTAATTAGGTGCCAAAATGCAGGCCTCCTTAAATGAAAGGAGGCCCACCACCGGGCTGGGCTCGCCCAGCTTGTCACCATTGAATTTATTTGCTATTTTGTAAAACCATCAAATTCTTTCAAGGAAGTGTGAGCAAACCGAAACACACTCTTTGCCTGAAGAGAAAAAAGCAACCTGCATGCACATTTTCCCCAAATGCTTCAGACCTGCAAGATGGGTCGATTCGGATGCGAACGTCTCATTCTAAGACATGAAAGACATTCTCATTCTAATAGAGCCTCTGCCCCACCATCTTCCCGTAATTCCATGGGAGCTTGCGAATAATAAAAAAAAGTACGCAGCCATTTAGTTGGAACCAGAAAATGAGCCCGAGTTCCGACAAGTGCGTCCCGGGTTGTAGATAATTCCGTGGACTTGCAAATAAAATCAAATTTGCACATCTCAAGCGAGGATCTGTTTATTGCCGAATACAAGGCAATCATCGAATCCTCCTGCAAACCGCAAACAACCGTAGATCCGTAACATTAGGATTATACTCGTGAAAAGGCGAGAAAAAAAAACTAAGCAGCAAACTTATTTGATCACACAGTAAGGCGACTCATCGATTCCTCTCCTTGACACCAAATGTCTGACTCAATCAGTGAAAGCTTGATGGCTTTGCCAGGAGGATCTTCGGAAACCCGGAGCTACTTTTAAAAGGTCATGGATGGGCGTGCGCTTGCTAATGCTACAGCTACATTAGTTTCTTCCAAAAGGATTGAATGCATAGATTTCCAAGAAGTGGGGCCGTTTCCACCGATGGTAATCTCTTTACTGGCAACGGACGCTGTTTGCAACAGGCAACTCGCGATATCTGGGTGCTCCGAGCGATTCGTTATTTCGTGCCGTTATTGCGATAATGATTATTGTTTTGCATTGATGTTGACTGAGCGAAAGGTTTGACCACAGTTTTGGCACGAATTTCTTCCGGTTGGTGCGACAAGAACATCCAGAACTTCTGCAGTTTTCTTCCGATTTCAGTTGTTCACAAAATTCGAGTTCGGAGTTCGCAATGCATCTTCCTGACATGATTTCAAAATGTAAAGATTCCGAATGTATTAACGAAAATATTCTATTTTCACACGCTCTCTGGTTGTGCCAGAAATTGATTGCGAAGAAGAGACAATACGCGTTCATTGCTTTGGATAGATACTCATTGCACAACCGAAGGAGGGTTATTGGACGTATTGTAAGTTGGCGGTGGAGGCGGGCTGGTGGACCCGTGCACATCCGTCGTGTTCACGTGATACGGATGCGCTTCCATCGAGTGATAGCCATTTCCCCCCTTCGCCTGGAAATCTCCGGTGGGGGCGTAGCCGTTGTAAGCGTGGGAGTTGGGGTTGTAGGCAGGAATGACTTGACCGTTGGGGCCGTAAGCAGGATAGACTTGACCGTTGGGGCCGTAAGCAGGATAGCCCTGGGCGTTGGGGCCAGGGATCATGATCGGTTGCACCGTGTCCGTTTTGCTTCCCAGGGTCTGGTAGTTGCTGAGGACGGCCAGCCAGATGTAGATCATTACGCCTGCATCAATAGATTCGCATCGGTTAGTGCTTCTGGTTTCTTGAATGGAACAGCATGGAACTCTTTTTGCATACGAGACAGTGAAATGAAAAGGAGTCTTGTCTCCCAGCAAGGCTGTTAGGCGATCAATAAACTTCATATCGAATTAATCTTTGCCAACTTGATAATTTAATAAATACCTATAGTCATTCTCCCTAAATAGATCCCTCTCTTAATCTGGCTAAAGTAACATAAAATTCTACCATTTTGTATGACTGAATCTCTGAATCTAAACCTCTGAATCTAAATTTCTCAACAAAACATTCTCATTGAAAAGGCGATCTCGAACATAATAAACTACCGACAATGCCATCTTGTCCTCAACGAAATCTCACTGAAATCTTACGCAGCTCCCTCCGCGCCAGTAGAAGAGACCTGCACTTGCGCTAATATCCAGCCAACAATCTCGAGATTGCTTCCTTATGCTACCGGGTTGCGCTACTTTCGCGGAATCCCGTATTGCAAATCACGTGCAAGCCAAACAGGTAGCACTGGAATATGTGAATCCTAATAAAATGACTAAAAGTAGAGACTTCTCCGCGAGTTCTGCTCTTCCTGGAATATTTTCTTACAACTACGATCCCCTTCCCCCTTTGCCTTAATTCGGGATACAGACCTAGGTAGACGAAGGCGACGATGATTCGGAAAACGAAGGCCCCCACATTACTACTGCTGATCCCGACGATGGCGGTTAGGTAGATGGTATATCCGATGCTGGCCAAAGAGAGTATCAAGTACAGGGCGTCCATTATAAGCCAGGGAATGTGCAGACATGCGTTTCTCTGAAATAAATAAATAATATAATTTTTTTGCACTGTCATACCGCATCCGAACCGGGGGAATCACAGGACAAAGAGAAAAGCGGGACTCTCGCAAACCTCTGGAGAAAATTTTTGCACTGGTATCTGTAGGAATTGGCATGGGTCTCGTTACTTACTTGGATACTCACGGAGGTTCATGACGTCCCGATTCTCAAAACGAATGTGAAAATACAAACTTTTCCGGCGCCATAGATGAGGGCAATAGAGGAGAGGACGAATATCGAAGAAATGACCACGAAGCCGATCAGGATCCCTCGCAAGACTGAAAAAAGAAAATATGTTTACAGACAGCCGGAAGAGTAATAAATTGGTCTCAGTTGATTCCTACGATAATGGATAATTTTCAGAACTACCGACAATATTTTTTTAGCCGTGCTTAAAACCATGTTTTCTTTTCTGGCAACGCAGATATGTTTGCTATATTTAATGATATTCAGAATACTGGAACATGGAGGAGTCAGAACAAAACTATTAATAATTCCCAAGAAAAGCAAAAGAAAAAGAAAGCAAAAGGGAGAGAATCTTAAATCCGAGAGATACGGTTTTTAAATAAATCAATTTAATTTCGCGTCTCGGTCCGTATCGCGATATCGCAAATCGCTTGGATATCGATATCGCAAATGGAAACGCAGCAAAAAAAAATGTGTCCCAAGTCAACCACGCATCTTTTTCCTACTGCAGTTTTCTAATTGCTAATAATCTAATATTGCCGATGAGAAAAACTCAAGGGCATATCGTGATATTAACATAATCAGGAATTTGTGAATAATGAGCTTAACTCGTTGGGGGAAAAAATCGGTGTTGAAAGATATCAAAGCGCCAAATGCAATAGGAAAACAGAGAATGGGGAAAGTTGGATGACAAGAAGGAATTAATGCCACCCCACAATCACTGGGATTATCGAGATTATTGGGATTATCGAGATTGTTGGGATTATCCTCATTATCGAAAAAAAAATATGAAAGCACGATTTCCTTTTCCAAAGAAAGCGAGTAAAAATATATTCGCTTCTTCACGTGTCCACTTGATGTCGCTTTTTACTAATTATTGCAATTATTTAATTATTATTATAATAATTATTATTACAATTATTGCAATTGCAGATGGTGGACGTGAAAGTTGCCTTACTTGAACGTCTGTCGCACAAATTCCTGCGTTCGTTTCTCACTTTTTCCAGAACATATTGCTTACTGCATACATTGCAAATTTTGTGGCCTTGAAGGTCCTTTGTGCCTGCTGTCTCCGGTATCCCCTCTCCGTCTTCTTCTCATTCAGAGCAGTTTTTTTAAATATATTTTTTGTGACTCACTGTTGTAGCTACCGCCGGTGTAGCCGTAGTAATTGATGATGTCTTGGTAGCTGCCGGAGTAGACCTTGTTGATCTGTGCGATGCTCACGGATCCTGCGATTAAGGCCACGATGGAGCCGATCTACGGAGAGAAGATTTTCATAGGTTTTGCCCTTATTCTTAAAACGCTTGCGGGAAGCGATTGGTCCCGAAAGATTCGAATTGATCATCGTTGTATTTCTCTTTTCGCCCTTCCAGACCTGGAAGAATCACGGAATTTAAGACTGAGGCACTTCAAAAATTAATTCTCATTATCGGAATGTTCTCGGTAACAAGAAAGAACAGGTAACAACTCAGTAAGTAACAAACAAAACTAATCCAAATCAAGTTGGAACCAATGCTCAATTTGGTATCGTTCTGCATTAACATAATTGGTTTATCGCAAGCTTCCGATTCGCAGCGAAACAAAGAAAAATGTCCTTTTAATCTATTCGCAAGCGACGCATTGCATGTTCCCCATTGAAATACGTATATAAGATGTCAATAAAAGGAATTCACCAAGGAGAGGACCCCGACGACTATGGTCCCCACCCGCGTGTCGCAGCAGCAACAGCAACACGTCTTCACGCACACCATCTTCTTCTCCAATCCGGAAAGACTAAAGGAGCGGGACCCAAAGGAGCGGGAAGCACCAAGATCCCAAGCGGTCCGTGTGCCGACTGGATGGGAGGCAGCGAAGGAATTACGGGTATTGCTACCCGAAGGCCCGCCAATCGACTCGTACCGGCTTCGTCCTCCAACACATCATAAGTGTTCGTGATCGATGAAAAGGCAAGGTCATCGTGACCTTCAGTCTGTACGTCATCGTAAATGTCCCCTAGTTATAGGTGCTTACATGTTGCCGTGGCAACGTTAAGGGCAAAGGGCAAAGAAAGCCCTTTTCTTCTTCGTTAGCAATCACCTTGCCGCCTCCTTCATCCATCAGTACTGCCCTCCCATTCTATTGTTCTCTTTTTTTTATCAAAGGATAATTCGGAACTAATTTCCGTTCGGACAAGTTTAAGAATGCAGCTTGAAAACGGCGCGGAAATATATATTGTCTCTTTAAAATACAGGGTGATTATATAATAATTTCCGCACTTCAGCCTACCATTTCTCAGGAACGTTATCCCACTGGAAGGTGAAATTGCAACTTTCGAATTGCAACTTTTTGCCATCGGTCATGCTGAAATCGTCTCGTGAGGATTTTTAAATCACTCAGATTTTTTTCTTCTTTTTCGTTCTGCTTACCTCGAAACCGGTTGAAGGCCTTTAAGTTCGGGTCGATCGGCTGAAAATAAATGTTTAAAAATTAGACTCGCCAGGGCCGATTTGACCTTTATCGTCTCTGTACGTGCTGATCGGCATCTAGCGTCTGCTTGACCTTTAACTCGCTCCGTTAGTTATTTGTGTGGTCTGTGCTTCCTCAGAACTGGCATAACAGTTGACCTTCAGAAAGGTCAACTGTCAACACTCTCTTGGACCATTCTGGTCCCTTTCTTCCTGCGTTAGCCTTGGCTTATCTCTGTTTTTCGGAGACGGTATACGACAGAATCAGCCCATTTTTTGTCGATTCAAATCATTTAGGAAACTAAATTTTGGTCACACGTGACACGTGCAGTGTGATCAAAGGGTCCACGCGAATACCTCGTAATGTTCAGGCGGTGTTGACCGTAGTTTATATGAAACCGTAGTTTATTGAAACGGCACGGAAGGAAGTTACGAAAGAGGATGATAGCTAATGAGGCGAAATGGGCTGGCGAGTCGTAGGAATCTCGTAAGAGGCACGATCCTTTCGAACAGATTGCATCGTGGCAAGAACCGTGGGAAATGCACGTGCCTGTACAGTTTATACAGGGTGAATACAGGGTGAATACAGGGTGAAGTTCCCCCGTTCAACGCATCAGAAACGGAGCCAATGCTTTGCATGTCATGCGCTGTCAACAAAAGTTCAAGAAGCATCCGTGAGGTCTGGAGTGCCTCGGTGCACGCGCGACTTGAGGAACATCCACAGCCAAAAGGCTGCTGGCGTGAGGTCCAGTGAATGTGCGTGCATTTGTCATTGCAGCAGTGAAACATGCTGGCACAGTCTTCATGCCGGATGGCCCTTATCCCATGTGTGCCCATTGGCACACATACCTATTGCATGTTGCGGGAGCGCTTTCAGGATCGCATGATTTCATTTTTCCCATGAGTGGCCACCGCGTTCCGCATTATTGCATTATGCAATGCATGGTGGATTATGGAGGAACACACATTGAACGCAATCGATTTTCGTAAGGGGTCATTTGTTCACTTTTGTTGACAACACACGACACGTCCGGCATTGTCCCCCATGGCCCCTGTAGCATTCGTATTAATTTTCTCGATCCTGTGTCGAACCGCTGACAAGATCTGACGCATCGAACAAGTATATCCCAAAACATGAGATATCCGAAAATAATTCGAATAAACCAGGTTTTACTGTGTGACACCTTAAAGTGACCGTGCATGCAGCGCCTCAGCGTAATCAGAGGGGAAACGCAAGATCGATGGCGAAACGGCAGGAAGTTCGGAGGTGTTCATCATGTTCATGGTGTTCACACTGAACACGAGATCGGGATCGCAAGGACGTCGAGTTGGTGTCGCGCTTCAACCTACAACGCAATGTGGCATGATGAGCCATCTGGCGGCCGTCAGGACAAACGAGGTTCCCAAAATGAATGTTAGATGGCGCTTAAATCCCCAACGCGCAATCCCTTTTTGATGCGACTGGAACAAATCACTTGTAGATGGCTCTCCGACGAGTCTTGAACCCTCAGCCGGAGTGCAGTTTCGATTCAACTTCCTGAAGAATGGTTACACTTCCGGAAGAAAGGTTACACTTCCGGAAGAAAGGTTACACTTCCGGAAGAAAGGTTACACTTCCGGAAGAAAGGTTACACTTTGAGTTCCATGCAACAATAATAATATATTGAGACAACAATATATTGAAATAACAAAGTTCAAAGTAAATTTTGAAATACGTTATCGCATTCCAAATGTAAGCTTACGTAAACTATTTTAAAATAAAGTAAGCTGTTGTTAAGCGTAACCTTAATTTTTGACTCACCCTGTTAAAGGTCACTGGTTCTTTTTTCAGATTTTTCTTTTCTCGATGAAATTTTCATCGACCCTTCAAAACATTTTTTTTCTGCATTTTCGTCGCTCGAACGGCGATGGAAATTTGCATCTCATGAATGCGCAAAAAATCGGCAGGTAATTGCACGCGCTCTGTCGTGCATTTGCATCGCATAATGCCTTCTTTTCAAGTTTTTTTTTTTTTTAGAGGAAAGCGAAAAGCTATCTAGATTAATGTCACCCCCGTCACCTCTTGATGAAAAAAAAAGTGACGATGAGAGCATTCATTTCTCTTCGATCGAGTGCAAAAAATACTTCTCCGCGAATTTCGAATTTGCAATCTGGAGGCGTTTGGAGTTCTCGCAATTCTCACGATTCTCATCAAAATCTGAATCGATGCAGGCAAGGGCCGGCACGACTCCTAAACGACCCTAAGCAACTCTCTAAGCAACTCTAAGCACATCTCGGAGTATCAGAGTACGGACATAATTTTTTTCCCCCCCATCCTGAACAAATTCAGCAATAAAAAAAATTCTAAGCGAATGAAAGAAACACGAAAGAGTCAGGTCGGAATTCCCAGTCTTTCTTCCCCCCTTAATTCCGCTTGCGTCATCTGCGACGGTAACGCTCGAAAGAGACTCATCAGTGGAGCGTTTTTTCCTTCGCCCTATTTCCAAGCATGAATGGGTTCGTGAAAAATGCAAGGAGACGTCATAGTGACGACAGTGCAGGCGTAAGGCACGAGGGGGTCACGAGGCACGAGGGGGGTCACGAGGCACGAGGGGGGGCGGGGCGGTGAGAAGGGAATGGTTCCCTCGGAGCTGCGACGTGGCTTGGAACCGTTGAATTCCGAACAAAAATGAGAGAAATATCCATAATTAAAAATACATATTGATACCCTGCCGGTGAAAGCAAGATGATATTATCATTATTATTATCATTATTAGAGATAATATTATTATCGTTATATTCGATGTGTATCAGGGATTTAGAAAGAAGGTAGATCTCGTTCAAAATGACGTGGAAGAATAGAATATAAGAATACCCGATTCCTGATGCGATGACAGCGCCCCGGCGGCGTTGAAGCGAAGCTGACGATAGAGGTCGGCACGCGCGACGCGACGGGGAAGAGCGGGGAAGAGCGGGGAAGAGCGGGGAAGGTGGAGTGATGTCAAGGCGTGTCAGGACACCCCCCATCAATAAAGCCTGATGTCACGAAACAAGGACTATTGGAGTGGGGGGGGGGGGGGGGGGGCGAGAAAAACCCC